TCGGCAATGTGGCCCTGACCAAGAAGACTGTTAATGTGAAAGATGTCAAAGAGGTAAGCGAGGAAAAAACTGAACAGTAATCCTAAACTTAGAATGATGTAGCTCTGTCTGGATGCAGTGCAGATGTTGTGCATTTCTGCTGTCTGTCAGTGTTGTTCATGATACCACCACCAGATGACGCCACAGCCCTCAGTTTTCAAAGCCCACACATATAATTGCTTTAACTAATGATTAAATGTTTTTCTTCGTGAAAATTAAATCTTAATCTTACATGAATGTCATTGTAGGAGTAAGAGTGATGTAAGACTTCAACTCGTTAATTAAATGTGACTCAGCCAACCTGCCCTTTAAGAAGAAGTCCTCCTGAAAATGCGACCTGAAGTTAAAACTGCACCAGGAACAGTTTTTATGTAAAATTATCAGCATAGAATACAAAGTGGGACTGCACACAGAGCAGGATCACAGCATAATGTTCAAGATTTTCATACTTTTCATACTGTGGTATATTTCCCTTGAATATTTATATTTCTAATTTTAGGCCATTTTGACAATTGGGTAAAATTAGATTAGATCAAAACTGAGGATGACTTGGCTGAAGGAATGTGCTTCTCCCCAAAAGAAATCCCAGTGAAACAAATGTATGTCGAGGCTAAAAATAGCATGTTGCATCCATGACAACTGACTTGTTAACTGCATGTGGGATTTGGTTTTAATTGCATAGAATTTAAAAAGACAAATAAGGAGAATCCTTCAAATGATATTTTGTAAGGAGTAGCTAGAGACATTTCTAACTATTAACTACATGCTCACAATGATACAAACTGTGGAAATGTATCACACCACCCCGATTATAGAAAATTAGCTGTTGACAATTAGAATATGATGTATGCAGTCTAAAAATAATATTGTATGCTCTAATGCAGCTTTAATTTGTGAGGCATTTATCAGTAACACAGCAGTGTGAATGCACTGTATCGGGTAGCTAAGGTATTATTATATCAAACTTTACAGATGTAAAGTTTTGACGATAGACAATGGCATGTTTTCATGAATCACATTAGGCTTAAAACCGATGATGGCTGTAGACAATTAAAAGAAGAGTTAGTAACACGTATCTATACGTGACCAAGTGAGGGTGTAAATCCCCTTGTCAGACATAATCCAGTTATTTCCAGATCCCATCAGCCTCTGCTCTAGCTGTGGATTAGATGCCTGTGGCATTTAGTCAGCAGTCAGCAGGAATCTGAAACAGATCAAAACTAGTTTACTTTACGCTGCCTCCATACAGTTTGTTTTAAAGATAGTCAACTAAATGTCCATTTTAAATAAGTGCTCTAGTTTTATGATGAAAGCTGGTTGATATATGATTGTGGAACATTTTGCTTCTGTAAATCATGGGAAAATAATTTATTTAGATTGGTAATTTTTCAGGCATGTGAGTTATTTGTAAACTGGGCTACTGCTGCTATAATGGTCTTGGTTTAAGTCTATACTTTAGGCATTTAAAAAATACACATTCATTAAAATATTAAGATTAGGAACACCATTTACCTCTAATAAAGCCACTCATGACTCACTCACTGTCTACAATATACTAAATACCAATGTAAAGCATTTAAGTAAATTACATTGAGTACATTAACTGTATTACACACTAACAATACTTTAATTCTGGACCACATTTGTTTTTGAAAAGAAAAATAAGTCAGGAAGAGTTTTATTAAAGACGTACACACTAATAATAATGAAAGCATTTTCAGCGTTCTACCTGTGTGCATGTGTGTTTGCAATTTATATATAAAAACATGTATATTCTATCTTTTAGAGCCAGTACTTCAGCTCATTCGTCGATGAACTCACAGATTACCAGACCAAGAACGTTCTGGCTACGCCCATCCTCAATGGCAAAGACCTGGTGGCTGTTATCATGGCTCTAAACAAGACCACAGGACCGCATTTCACTGCTGAAGATGAAGATGTGAGTCCTGAATGCAAAAGCACCGGTGCACAAATACACACATAAACATGCACATATAAATATAAACTCAGAGCAGTGTGGCGTAACAGAGGCCCTGCCACAGACCTCAAAATAAAAATATAAATGATTGTACAGAAACCGTTTCTGCTGACAGATTTTGATTGTGGATCTTTTTAGACCTTCACAGAACATCTAATTGTGGCAACATCTCTGAAAGACATCTGACATAAGTGTATCACTACAGATGCGAGGGAATTCCCTTCAAGCCGGCTGGTAGATTATTCAGGTCTTCACGAGTGAGACCAGTGTGTGTTCACTGTACGTCAGGTCATTAATCCATCACGTATAGTAAGGATGTCATCCCACTTAGGAATAAACTAAGCTTCAAAATGGAAATAAGCTTGAGATAGTCAGGTCAGTTGAGGACTTAGAGCCACAGCAGGTTAATGACTTTATTAATAGCATGTAACTGTAACATTATATTTATATTCTGTTCTGTTTATATTGTTATAGCATAGACTTAAAATGTGCTTTATGTAATCATTAATGAAAACTTAACCCATTACATACATTCACACATGGCTGGAATAATGTCCTTTAATTAGACTGACCATTTATTTGCCTCAGTTTTTTCATAATGCTTAAATATTAGCCTGAAATGAGCTTTGAGTCATATAGCTGTTTTGTGTTCGCTGTAATATGAATGCTTTACCTGCATTTACTGTATATAGTCAGTCCATTAGTCTGTTATGTAATCAAATCAACAAAACAGTATTTTCTGCTACTAGCAAAAAGCTTTAGTGATCCAGCCGATGGGACATTTTGGAGCGTATTGTACTGTGGTATCTATCCTTCTGCAGTGTAATATTATGCTGTATCCTACATCCTCACATCTTATATTGTATTGTGATATATCATTTTTGTGTATATCAGATGTTAGAAATTGCATGATTATATATTGTTTTCCTTTCTCTTGTTTGTCCATTTAGCTTTTTTTAAAGTATCTGAAAATTGCCACCTTGAACTTGAAGATCTACCATCTGAGTTACCTCCACAGCTGTGAGACGCGTAAAGGACAGGTGAAGGAAGCATGTTTTAATAGACATTACTGGCTTTTCATTCTATTTATTCCATATAAACACAATATGTATGAACTGAAAGCTTGACATGACCCGCTATATTTGTGTTATGTCTCACAGCTGCTGTTGTGGTCTGCCAACAAGGTATTTGAAGAGCTGACAGACATTGAGCGACAGTTTCACAAAGCCTTGTACACAGTCCGAGCCTACCTCAACTGTGACCGCTACTCTGTCGGTTTACTAGACATGACAAAGGAGAAGGTACTGTGTCTTTGTCTGTGCTATATAATGTTTTTTGTTCATACATTTATCACCATGACCTGCTGACCTTTTTTATCTTCTTCTAGGAGTTCTTTGATATCTGGCCAGTGTTGATGGGAGAGCAGGCACCTTACTCTGGCCCTGTCACTCCTGATGGCAGGGTACATCATTTTATTTCATTATTATCAACACATTTGCTTGGTAGTGGATATCTACATACTGGATGTTGCCCTTGGTCTTTTAATCTTATATCTGTGTTTAATTTTTCCTCCAGGAGGTAATTTTCTACAAAGTGATTGATTATATTTTGCACGGTAAAGAAGACATTAAAGTTATACCGTAAGTACATATTTTTTCCTTTTACAGTTTGCCATTTATTCATAAAGCAAAGTTATATCAATAATACTTCAGAGAGAATCAGTAGCCCGATCCCAGTGTGGACACAGTCGGTGCTCATATCTGCTAACTCGTCTACTTCTGTCACACAGCAATCCGACTCCAGATCATTGGGCCTTGTGTAGCGGTCTGCCTACTTACGTTGCGGAGAGCGGTTTTGTGAGTTTCCTTTCATTACATTACTATGAGTTGTTGAATCAGTTAGGATCAAATTAATGTATTTGCACATCTTCCACCTTGATTAATCTGTTGTTTCTGCTCCTCAGATTTGTAACATTATGAATGTAGCAGATGAAGATATGTTCCAGTTTCAGGTAAGAGACTTCAAATGGCTAAATGATCAAAAACCAGTCCAGAGATAATGAAGAGAGAGATGTTTACACAGTACAACATGTTCTTGCTTGTTGCTCCAATGTTGCAGACTGAGCCACTCGACAACAGTGGTTGGACCATAAAAAACGTTCTCTCGCTGCCAATTGTCAACAAAAAAGAAGAGATCGTTGGTGTGGCTACTTTTTACAACAGAAAAGATGGAAAGCCTTTTGATGATCAGGATGAGCAGCTCATGGAGGTATACCACCCTTCCTAACACTGAATCTTTTTTGGAGATTTTAGTATGCACTCAATAGTTCACCTTGGTATGACGTGGTTAAGAAAAGTCTACCAAGCAATGTAAATGTCTGTGAATTATCCCCCATATTGTGCTGATCCTGATGTACTGTTTCTCAGGCTTTGACCCAGTTCCTGGGATGGTCTGTTCTGAACACAGACACTTACGACAAGATGAACAAGCTGGAGAATCGGAAAGACATCGCTCAAGACATGGTGCTCTACCACGTCAAATGTCGGGATGATGAGATTCAGAATATCCTGGTCAGTTCTGTTTACTTGTTTAACATAAATCATTTCAGGATCAAACAAGACCAACCATTAGCCCACCACAGGGCCACATAACCAGTCCAGCATCCATGTAACACACTTTCTTTTCAGTTCTGCTTCACTTTGCGGGTGGTTTAACTACCTCTGTACTTGCACTTCCTATCTGGTCATCTCAGTGTTTTTTCTCATCTCTCCAGAACACCAGAGAATTGCACAGTTGTGAACCCAGAGAGTGTGAAGAAGATGAGCTCCTAGATATCCTGGTAACACTGAAACTTGAATAATTTAATTTGTGCCTTAAGTAGCATCTAATGTTTAGCAGAGGAGCCAAATTTAATGTGAAACGTGAAATCTTACTCTGCTTTCGTTCTGTTCATTCCGCTCTTAGAAAAAAGACCTACCTCCACTGATCAAGAAGTTTGAGATCTACGAGTTCCACTTTGCAGATTCTAACTGCACAGAGATGGAACTAGTGAAGTGCGGGATCCAGATGTACTATGAGGTCGGGGTGGTCAAGAAGTTCCAGGTCCCTCAAGAGGTGATCTAGACACACAAATATACACACATATAAAATTATCACACATTATTATAAAGCATTACCCGTGTGGTTAATCAGTTCTCTCCCCTCAGGTTCTGGTTCGGTTCATGTACTCTGTCAGTAAAGGCTACAGAAAAATCACCTACCACAACTGGCGTCATGGCTTCAACGTGGGACAGACCATGTTTACACTCTTAACGGTACTGCTCAAGCTATGCCAATTCCATGTTCTATTCCAAATCCTGAAAGCCTAAAAAAATGGAAAACTATCAACAAACTGTTGTGTTTTTTCTTTGTTTGAACCACCTTGTGTGCTCAGACGGGAATGCTGAAGCGGTACTACACCGACTTGGAGGTAATGGCCATGATAACTGCAGGCTTCCTCCATGATATTGATCACAGAGGAACCAACAACTTGTACCAAGTCAAGTAAGTTTCTTGCTTTAAAGCCACACAAAACTATTTCCATAGGTGGGTATGCAGAAAATCAGCCCTCTTAAGAGAGGTATAATAACAACACTGCTGTGTCTTAGTGTCATAATAATGCTAAATAATGTGTACATAGTGTATGCTATATGTGTACACATACAACCTTCTATGTGAATGCGTTAAGTTCAAGATTCAGCTTTATTGTTGATATAAGATTGTATGCACGCTACAAAATAGAACAAAGCAGAATATATGAAGTAGCACTGAAATAAAAAGAGACACTGTATTATAGTTACATGGATGATGTACAGATATGTATATATATATATATAGGCACATATATACACACCCAGAAGATGTACAATATATGCAACATCACTGTAATATGGAAGTTGTAGTGCAAAGACTAGGTCAAGTCCTCACATGTAGTTCAGATAAGTTACTCCTCTACATTAATGTTAACCTAATTTATTTTGACACTTTTGAACCCATCTTAAGTCATTTAACTGCAATGGCTACCCACTAGTAACACAGCTTTGATAGTAAAAAAATTAGACATGATGTTCACTGTGGTGAATTATCTATTTCAAACAGGTTTCAAGTCTTTCAAAGTTCCCTTTATTCTAGGGCTACATGGAAACAAATCAGTAACCATCTTGAAGCCACATGAGATTATGCTTTTGAAAGTGAGGGGCAATTTCTGGTACTGTAAATGGCTCAAAACAAGCTAACACTCCGATAGTATGTCATAAAACTGATGTTGACTGTAGTTAATCTTATATTTAACTCTGTTCATATCTGACTTTTATTCACACCAACAGATCTGGGAACCCTCTGGCCAAGCTTCATGGCTCCTCCATCTTGGAAAGACACCATCTAGAGTTTGGAAAGTTCCTCTTGGGTGACGAGGTGAGAAAGAAGAGGTGAACTGCAGAATAACTTAACTTGTACGTTACTAAAATCTCTTTGTAATTACATCCTCTGGTCAATATGGTTGATCTCTCTCCTCTCATCTCACCTGCAGTCACTGAATATCTACCAGAACCTTCACAGGCGACAAGTAGACCATGTGATTCATCTCACGGACATCGCCATCATCGCCACTGACCTGGCTCTTTATTTCAAGTAAGCATAATCTCCCATTGACTCACTCTACATGTTTATTCCTTCCTTTCCCTCTTTCTTTTTAAGTCTATTCTGTAAAATTACATAATGATAAATAGTAAAATAGTTCCTCTCCTCGTACCTTGCTAGGAAAAGAACCATGTTCCAGAAGATCGTGGACCTTTCACACACATATGAGGATGAAAAGAAGTGGGTTGACTTCATGTCTCTGGAAACAACAAGAAAAGAAATCCTCATGTGAGTACAACAAGCATGGACATAGTTCTTTATTCTTTTACATTTCACTTGATCGTCTAAATATTTTCCATTTTAGGGCTATGATGATGACCGCATGTGACTTGTCAGCTATCACCAAGCCTTGGGAGGTGCAGAGCAAGGTGAGAAGCACCGAAATGTAATGAATCAGTGACTCACTGAGTGTTCGTGATCTGCTTTTCTACAGATGACTGTGGGTGTGTGTATCTTTCAGGTTGCCTTGTCTGTAGCAGCAGAGTTTTGGGAGCAGGGTGACCTGGAGAGGACAGTCCTGGAACAACAACCTATTGTGAGTTATATTTCTATTTGTGTGAAATATGAACATGTGACAGGACATGTTGTAGTATCAGTAAATAACTGTGTAGGGTATATGTGGTGTGGTATAGGGCACTAAGGATGATAATTTATTTTTTGTTGTATTTTGTTTGTTGAACTGCTGTTAACTGCAGTTTCAAACGATTGCCTTGTTGACACATGCACCAACAAGGGCTGTAGACTGATACATCCATATAGACAGAACACCATAAATGTGACTGTATCTTTAACCAATCTACAACAACACAAATATTAAGTGTGTTGAGACTATTTCAGGCTCTGTGCTTATTAAACAGGAATGTTAAAAACATAAACTCATCATAGGATATGTAAACTTATCAGAATCATATCTGGAAAACATGGTTGATGATGGTATAAAAAACATGACTGCGCAGGTGATTTCATACTCGGTGCAACAAATAAAATTCAAGAAGGTGTTCTTCCAAACGCACTGGAGGTGGTCAGCAGCATTGTGTTCAGTGCTGCCGCTGATGGCAAAAAGTTGTATTGTAACAGTACTGATGTAGAAACATAGAAAGCCAGAAGTCTTACCACTCCCAGTCACTTAAAGGACCACTGTGTAGACCAGTTGCAACAAGCTGAATAACACTCGCCTTCCAAGCATGTAGGAGAAACTACTGTGGCCACGAAACCTGTGAAAGGCTTTATGTAGAGCCACTGCTTGGTTTGTCCGTTCTGGGCAACTGTAGAAACCTGGTGGTTTCTTTTTTTAGATTCTTATTTTCAGTTGATTGTACACTAATGAATACTAATGAATAATATTATATTCCATTCTTGGAATTGATCCTCCTAAATGTTAGACACTGGACCTTTAAACAGCAGCTGTAATTACTGATTTGTTGGATGTTAATATGATGTTTTTAAGTGTCTCAAACTCTTCCTGTCCTTCCCACCAGCCCATGATGGACAGGAACAAGGCAGCAGAGCTTCCCAAGCTACAGTGTGGTTTCATTGACTTTGTCTGCACATTTGTCTACAAGGTAATGTTTAATATTGCATTTAGTCTAATGAACTAAACAGTACACGCTTATTCTCAGCAAATAATTTATTTAGTATATATTTGGCGGTTTCTTGCTCTGTTTTTGTGTATATTTATACATAATTCCCTTTTTATTTAGCTGGAACTACTATAAGTCCATAGCTAAATAAAAACCATTCACTCACTCACTCTTTTCTTCTCAGGAGTTTTCTCGCTTCCACCCACAAATCCAGCCCATGCTGGACGGCATCCTGAATAACAGGAAGGAGTGGAATGCTAAAAAAGAAGAGTATGAAGCTAAACTGAAAGCCATAGAAGAAGAGAAGGCAGCTAAAGAGGCAACCACAGCCAGTAAAGGTGCTGCAATTCTTTGGAATGATCACACAACTATGAAATATATCAGAACCACTGCAATTATATTTGCCCAATCATAGTCATTTGTGCAATTGCATGCCATTTTGTTACTCTCTTTAGGTCAAGTACCATCATCCCCATAATCCACAAATATATTTACTTGTTTCTTTGATGTGTCTTTGTCCATCAGCTGCAAACAACCCCAGTGGTGGTGGAGGAGGCTCCAAGACCTGCTCAGTATGCTAAAAAGGTCAAAAAGCTGTTCACACGATGGGAGTGCACCCAGACGGCTCTTGACAGGTTGAATTCAGAATCACCTGAGCACCACAGTTGACAGTCAGCCTCATCGCCAAGGAAAAAATGCAATAAGGTCAGGAAGACGGATACATGAGTGAATGCACAGCCCCGTAGTATTTCTTCAGAAAAACTGGTTCCGATCAGAAAACACCTGAACAAGAAGAGGGTCCTCACCAAGAAGAGCAAAGATTTATCTTTAAGGGACACAAACACACAACGGAAAACCTCACTGAGGAACAACAGAAACAACGTTATAAAATATGAATCAAGAGTTTGAATCTCAGGTTTTCACTCAACCTCATACACTACCAGTTTCCTTATATTTTGAGGATTGTTAGTGCAGATGGACAGATTCTACGTGTATGTGTGTGTGTGAGCTTGTTTGTTGTGGGAGAAACTTTTATATGTCTTTTCACTGTTTCTTTACAGTAGTTATGAAACAGCTGTGTAGTAAGTGATACCCACGTACAGTATGTTCTATGTAAGAGTGAACACACTATTCAAGTAATTCTCTTCTGCAAAGCCCAAGTCACTGTAGACTGTATATATAACATACAGTATATTGTACATTAATGTAATATTCATTTAAAGTTTCAGCATGTAAATGCAGGTAGATAGAACTATCACTGATCTATTGTACATATATTCCAATATTTCAAAATGATCATTTCATTTTCACTCCTTCCAGTCACTTACCATTTACAACTGAGAGTTTGTTTACCTTGATTGCAAAGAGCCAAAGGTAGATGACAAGCTCAAGACCGCTGCAGTAAAGGATGCATTTTATAGAGTATGATTACTTTATGTAATTATTAGGGCGACAGCATAGACATTTAACTGTCCACATACAAGCCTCTAGTTGCTTCCTCATGATGCCTTCATACTGTACATACATCTGAGAGTTGCTGAAAATGTAATTATATTTTATGAATACACAATTACAAATGTCTTATTAAGTAAGAGCACATTGAAACTGAGTTACTACTCTGGAAATTAGTACATTCAAGATTAACTTTAGCTGAACTGAATGACTGGACCTCAGTGGTAATTCCAGTTAGTTTAAACATTATATGGTAGCAGGAGCAACCATCTCTCTCCAAATGCTGCAAAAAGTTAGCGCATATTAATCCCTAAAGAGACATTAATCCATTGCAATGATCCCATCCTAAATAGAAGCAGGGGTCAGCCCTAGTGCTCCATCCAAGGACTAACTACAGTCCTGAGGCCAGTGTCTTGTTCAAGGGCAATATTAAGAGTATTTTACAATAGCTAACAATGATATGAGAGGAAATGGGAACATAAATGAGAACAGGCAAACTCTACAAACCAGGACTGTTGTCCTAGTTTAGTGTTAAACACTAGTCCATCGTGCATCTGCATTAATTTCTGCAGACACACAGTGAAGCTGTTTGAGACAAAAGAACGACTTCTTGTAATGACTTGTACATATTTCCTTCCTCCCTGTAAATATATAAAAAAATATTTTTCTAGTTGAAATATAGATGCTTATTTTTTAAAATAGTAAAATTAGTGAGCACTGGCAAATGAGTCATCAAGTTGTTTCTTATTCCCTTAAATGATCGAGATATGGTTTTTATCATGTATTCCACATATGGAAAGAAAGAGTGGGTGTATCAGAGATGATGTAACATTAGGTGATAAATACCTCTAATATGCTGTGGAAATACCCATTAACATTTTTAAATAGACTTTATTTTCTTTATGGTCAGTAATTTAAAGCTTGCCTCTTCATGCGCTCCATGTGTACAATGATGACCTAAATAAAGAAAATGTATTTTTATGGGAGGTAACTGAGTGAATTACTTGCCTGTGATCCTGACACTTGCTTACAGACTACAGTGTACATTACATCGTAACTTGATACTAACAATCTTTAATAACATTTACCACTTAAGGAAACTGACTTTAATAGACATATCTTATTAACAAACAACATTTTGTCTACAGCCACTTAGCCATCATAAATATAACGCAGTGTGTACTATATAATGCTTTAAGGCAATCCAGAGTTCATAATCAAGGTTATAAATATTACACAACACACAAGAGTATTGAGGGAACACTTCTGTCCACACTGCACTTTCTACTACTGGTCCCTGACCCCAATCCTGGGATTGCTGCTAAACTAGGCCAGGATTACAACCATGTTCTTACCCCAGGCTCATCTCCTACTGAAGGACAGCTACGCAACACACACCGACACTGTCTCACGACTGCGTGTTCTGTCTGTGTGCTACTCTACACCTGAAGAACTTGAAAAAGTGAAGTGTTTGAAAGAAGACCCTTCCTAATTAGATTATATGAAGTTGTTTGATGTCATTTTCTATTTTAGTATGCAGATAAATCCTCAATAAATAACACAAGACCACCTCAATTATCACATGAAAAATATTGTTTGATTTTATTGAGTTTGGAACATAATGACTCATTCATTTGAGGATGGTGTCATCATTTGCTGCAGAGAGGAGACAGAAGAGGGAAAAATATGTAAATAAGACAATTTGTGAACAAAATGTGGAACTGTGTGGCGCCTCATTAGAATAAACAAGCAAATAAAAAAAAGGTGACAGACACAGAGAGTGAAAAATAAAGAGTGTATGTGTTTTACCTTCAGCCAGTTGTTTGTAAATGCGTTCTTGCTCCTCTCTGGCTTTTTTCTCCGCTTCCTCAACCCTCCTCTCCTCCTCTGCAATGGGCTTCAGGTACTCTGAATAAGACCACAACCAGTCATTATTTTAACAGTGAACATTTTTATTTGAGCTTTTTGGAGTGTGCAAAAATATCCTAATGACAATCAAGGCATCCAGCGCCCTGCACACACCTTACAAGACTGAAAATACTTAGTGATGCTTCTGGCAATACATCCTGCATCTCTGACGCATTATAGTCCTGAAGGACTTTTACTTGATAATCCTACATTGTGAACAACAAATTTGTCTCATTTCTCTGCTCTCTTTGAGTTTCAATGAGGGCGAGGACACAGAGCGGAGCAGAGGAGAACAAGGTGAAAGGAAGATAATGTTGTTGGTAGTCTACCGGTTACAAATGCGCTCAGTAGGGACTGACACATGCTGACAAGTTCTGTGTTTTTTTCTGGGCCAGAGAAGATCAGCGATGCTGTTTTGCCTTCATTGTTCTCTGTGACGTTTGCTGGAAGCGATGTAAAGTAACCCTGGTGTATTATGTGGAGTGAGCACTGTGCCAGGCTTTGAATGTTACATGTCATACCATCCAGTCATATGGTAATTTAGGAGGCAATCTGGCATTCAGTTAATTATTTTTTTATTTTTATAAAAACTTAACTCCTGGCATTTGCTCCTGATGTTTTATAAGAAGTTAATAACAGATGAGATAACAGAGCCACTTCCCTTTTACATAAATGCTGTGTGGTGGTTCTAATGTATGCATATTTTAGATGTAACTCATAATTAAAACAAAACTTTTAGAGATTTTAAATCTAAAAATTGTTCTGAGTGGATCACTGGGAAATAATATTGGTCAGACTTGTACAATATGACTAATTCAATTGTTTGTTCAGGTCCAAATGTTGCTAAATACTATAATTACTTACATAAATATAACCCTAATTATAACCACATAAGTGAAACTAAAGCAGCTAAATCTAATTCAGCAATCATTAACATTATTAATATCAGACCTGCTTTCATTTAAAGTAACATTGGAGGAAAAAACCTGCTGCCCTTGAAGTTTGGACACAGACAGGTACACTCAGTGGCGCATGCGCAGACACCAACTTACCAAACCTCTGCTTGCCATAGAAGACGCCGAGCAGCAGGGCTGACCACCTGGCCGTCTGAAACAGAAGAGATTAAAAACATGTTAACAAGTGAAAACAACAAAGCCAGCCAACAGGGTGAGCTGCGACATGTCAACAAGAGTCCACTGCTGTGACATTAACAAAATAAAAGACTAAACTGGACACGCTCAGGTAGCCGCGACTGGGGGCGAAGTTCACTTTTCGTCTGACCCTCCTGCTGAGGAGGATAACGCTTAAATGACACACTGGTATCACTGCAGCTCCACAACCCATAGCTAATGATATTTACTAAGTCAGCATCAGACATAATGTGGACGAGGCTCCAGATTTCACTGCTGCTCTGCGGAGAAAAGTTCACCTGCCTCTCAATGTCACTGCTAGCATTAGCATAACAGTAGCTAACATGCTATCAGAGCCACTCACATTGAAGGCCTAAGCTACGCGTCCTGAGGCTGGCGTTTGAAATGAGTTTATTTCGTTTGAGCTGACAGAAATCACAACAATTACAATCTTTCAAGGCAAATAATTTGAGTTATTACCTTGATGAGCGGTGACACTGCGACAGGAGGAACCATCGTGAAACGAGCAAGTGACTTCCGGACTGGGCGGAAGTAGTTCTTTTCCCCTTCAATATAATGGTGTAGATATTTTACAAAATAAAACTTTGGACATGAATATTTTACTTCGTAGAAAGTGAAAAAGCTTCAGTTAAATGCTAAATTAGGAATGACAGAATTTGTGGTGTGTTCACCAAGTGTGTTTTTTTATTGTGTGGAATATAAGTTTTTAAAGTTTTTAAAGTTTTTAAAGGTGCAGTTCATCATTTTCCTGTTGTGCTATTCATACATCTTGTTTTGGTAAGTTAGATATCAGCCTTAGAGATATCTGGCTTCTCTCGAATATAATGGAATTATATATAGCACTCTGCTTGTGGAGTTCAAAGCACTAAAAAATATATTAAACTATTTTTTCCAAATACATGTTTTATTTTAATGAACTTAAGCCTATGACTTAGTCTAAATTGTCTGTGTAGTAGTCTAGAGCAGGTTAACAAGGTGGCAGCAGCCTTACACAACCTTTAAGTCCTTAACAACTAAGTTTATTATTATTACAGTATGCACAGTCCTAGTCAGGCATGATTAATGCCCCTGAATTATTTAGCATTTACCTCACTTGTTGGCACCCTGAATTCATTCATGGGCTGTTTATGTCGGTCGTTTGGTCATAATTTTGTTCTGTCAGTCTATTGAACGTGACTTGGGTTTGACTTAAGATAATTATACAAAAAGAAAGTTTCCCTTCTTCAAACGTCCTGTTTTGTAACATTGTGTAAATATTCACAATTAAGAAGCTGTTACTAGCAAATGTATTGTATTTTTGCTAACTCAATCAATTAATTGATAATGAAAATAGTTGCAGATTGTCTGTCTGTCTGTCTGTCTGTCTGTCTGTCTGTCTGTCTGTCTGGGCACACATGCATGCTGTGGGTGTGGCTTCCCTCCTGGCTCCCAGCTCTGCTCCTTGCACACCTGTTTGGAATCATCATCATCATCATCATCATCATCATCATCCTCACCATCTTCAAGCAGCAAGTTTTTGGAATAAACTTTCTTTAATTCACAATATCATTGTCTTGTATTTTGGTCGACTATTATATCCAATGTAACACTTTGTGTGCAGAGAAAAAAAAATCAACCACATTTGTTTTTTTCCACAATTGTATGTATGTCATAATTGTTTGTACAGTATTTTAGAGACACATTGGCACTAACAAAGTTATTTAGTCTACATGTTAAAGCTTGAGACGAAGACACTGGTTAGCTCTGATAAAATGTAATATACATATAGTATCATATCAGGGATATTAATTAAAAACAAAATAGCAAGTCATGTTTTCAACTCATAATTATTCTTGTAAAATTACATTACACAATAGAAGCAAACATGTAAAGACAGTGCTGTGGAGTTGCTAAAGGTGGTCCAAAACAGAAATATGCAAATACTGTTGTTCCAACAAATGTTTCCCACTTTTCCAAGATGGTGCAAGTAGCATTAAACAGTTTCTTTTTTTTTTTTTTTTTTTTTTTTTTTTGAAGAATCAAATGTAAAAAGATGACATTGTTCAAAATAATTAAAGCTAGCCTGATTCCAGATCTCTTAATCACATGCCCATTTTATTCAGAAATTCAAATTCTGACGAATAAATAATGAAGGGAAAATGAAATGAATTCAGTCTGATTATCAAGTTAACCAAAAGCAGCTCCCAATGCATATCATCAATAACCAGAATAAATAACATGGACAAGTGTAAAACAGTATAAAATGCTTCTTCACAGAGTGAATCCAGCGCAGGATGCTTCTCAATCGTTGTCATAGATGCAATCTGGAAAATATAATATTCCGTATTATACATGGTGTTTTAGATCGACTGATATAATTGATATATGTAATGATGAAGGATTAAGGGTTAACTGGACTAACATACCATCTCCAATATCATCATAGATGTCACCATCACTGGAAATGAAAATGAAAGGAAATGGTGAGTACAGGCATTATATTATATTATTTAGTCTCTGATTGTAACTGTGTGAGTGTTTGTGGTACTTACTCCGTAACAATGTAACTGGTCGAAACATAACCAACTGTAAAATACAGACAGACACGTTAGATGGGAATGATGGGTGGTCCAATTTTGTGTTGAGTAGAGTAGGGATAAAATAAATATATGCATGTATTGATTCATTCTGTTAATGGCAGCAGATACTGACTCTTGCCATCGTCGTTCCGACAGATCAGTTTGTTATCCACAGCTTTAACAATGACGTCAAGTTTTTCTCCTGCTTTGACTGGAAGCTCTTTCCCACTCCACTTCTTATTAGTGAGATTCGGCACTATGTTCACCTGGTACAGCACCTGTATCTCCCCTTCATACTAAAAGAGAGTGAAAATTACATAAATAGTTTGTTACTAAGCAAGCAGCATTAAGAAATCAAGTTTTAACTTTATATTGACCATGATTATACACAATATTCTAATGAATTAAAATAAGTAATACAGCAATATAATAAATACATTTTAAATGAGAGAGCAAAAGGTTTTTGTACTAAAGAGCTGTTTTTCAGCAGGTGTGACTGTTAACAGTAAGAAGACTGGATTGATGAACATTATTAAAGACATGATGGAAAAACAAACTTTAAACTTTTTCCTGAATTCCTTCTCCTCTTTCTCAAACTTCTTCTGCTTTTTTGGGTCCATCTCTTCAGTCTTGTTTTTGCCTTTCAGGGTTAAAAGGCTGGAGAGCAAAACCAACAAAAAATTGATAATATTTAGTTACTTTGGTTACTTATTTTTTTGTGAACCATCTCCTGACAGTTTGGGAATTATTGTAAGGATTTCTTATTCTAAAATTGATGTAACTGTACCTGCTGAGGGGAGGCAGGGGAGGTACATTTTGAGAGTCGACATCATCGTATATCTCCTCATCAATTGCTCCTGGCTGATCTGTGATAACATGTGGGAGAAGTCAGATGTTAAATTTTTAAGTTTTAGACACCAGGCATTAACACGCATTCGGAAAGAACACATTTTAATCAGAATACACATAATAAAA